GGAGCTAAATCCTCAAACATGTTTTATGACTTTGTACTACCTTTATTTAACACAGGATGTCAGCCCTTCAAGAAATATTCCCAATCGTGTAGTCTTCTCCGATTTCGGCAATTCAGTGAATTTTGATTTATCTATGACGCAGGAAATCCACGGAATTCCAGAGCATCATCGTCCTATGATTGCTCCGTCATTATACGCTGCAAAGTTTGGCCATGTTGATTCTGCAAGAACGTTTTTCACAGATGGATCTCTAATAGAGGAGTCCGCTGGTTTTGGTGTATTTAATGAATTTCATAGCGCCTATCGAAAACTTGAAGCTCCTTGTTCTGTGTATGTGGCTGAACTGGCAGCAATTCACTACACTTTGGAAACTATTGCTTCACTTCTTCCACACCACTACTTTATTTTTACGGATAGTCTCAGTTCTGTCGAGGCTATCCGTTCCATTAGGCCGGTAAAGCACTTCTCGTATTTTCTCTTGAAAATACGAGAACTGCTTAGTGCTTTATCCGTGCGCTCTTTCATCATCACCTTCGCGTGGGTCCCTTCGCATTGCTCAATTTTGGGCAATGAGAAGGCGGATTCACTTGCGAAGGTGGGCGCTATGGAAGGCGACATTTATGATCGACAGATCGCCTATAGTGAATTTTTCTCTATTTATCGTCAGCAGTCGCTCGTTAGCTGGCAACATCAATGGAGTGAAGGGAGCTTGGGACGATGGCTACATTCAATTATCCCTAAGGTGTCGAAGTTTGCATGGTTCAAAGGGTTGGACTTGGGTCGAGACTTCATACGCGTGATGTCTCGTCTCATGTCCAATCACTATTGTCTAAACGCTCACTTGTTCCGTGTGGGGTTGGGAGACAGCAATCTCTGTGAATGTGGACAAGGTTACCAGGACGCTGATCACATCCTTTGGTCTTGTGCGGAGTATCGTGGAGTCAGATCACATTTTTATGATTCCCTTCGGGCTCGAGGTAGACAACCTAATGTTCCAGTTCGGGATATTTTGGCTAGACGCGATCTGGAGTTTATGAAACTCATATATGTTTACTTTAAGGATATTAACCTTAGATTGTAAGTTTGATTAACCTTGTGTTTAGTTTGTATTTTGTAAATGTGGGGTTTTTTTTTCAATGTTTGTTTTCAAGATGAATAGAAATAATTTCATGCTTTAGGATTAAGTAAATAGTTGTATCGTAAACCACATTTCAAACCTCCTTCTTCCCTTTTCCCATCCAAAAAATTGTAAATCTCCACTAACCTCGAGACAACCGCGAGTACTCGGTCCAGTTCCTTTAACTTTAAATTTAAGACAGCAATAATGTATAACGCAAAGGATAACTCGGCTCTGTAAAGTTTATTCGATTGAGCCTGTACAAATAAAGTTAATATAAAAAAAAAAAAAATTGTTTAGGTCTCCCAGAAGCTCTGTTATCGACACATGAAATTTTTCACTTCTGAATGAAAGTCATCCGATGCTAACGCAAAAAATCTGGTTGCCGTTTACTCTGACGAAAAATAAATCACAAACAGTGCTGCTTGTTCGCAACATTTTCTCTTGGCAGGACTCTTATTATAACATCGACTCTGTACACCACCGGCGCCGCTTTTATTAGACTGTTATCATACACTCAAAATAATCTACACGTTGAAGCTACGTGAAAAATCACGCAAGCTCTCACTTTTTCCTCTCCTCTCAGTTTTACGTGGCTTACGTAGAATGTATGTAATGTTCCTTGAATTTTACAGGGAGATCCTTTTTAGCACACCTACATAATCAATTGAATGTACGTGATTTTCACATAACACTGAGCGTATGTGCGTTTCACGTAAAGCTTATGTGATTTCCACATCTAAAAAAGAGTGGTACGTAGGTACACTCAGAGCGTTGCAAATCATGACGGCATCACGATATCCTTTGTTCGGTATTTTTGAAAGATGTAAGTATAAAATTATGGATTATTTTTTTCTCTTTGACAAAAACAAACTGACTTTTTCATCAACCGGTTAACACTCGTGTTTATTGCAGTTACCGTGGGGACGTAATTTGTTATTAGACCCGGTTCCTTTCAAATTGTATCATTATTTATGTATATGTATTATATTTGAAATGACGTTTCACATTCATCTAGTGATGGCCGATTTTCATTCGGATAATCGATTAGTCGATTAACGAACCGAACAGTAAAATATTTGTAACCGGTTAGAGCAACCGTAACGGTCGTTGTCATTTGCGCGACTATTTTAACAGCGCACAGCGCTCTCATTTTAGTTTAATCACTCTTCTCCACACCGGTCGCTGCTATCGCGGTTATCAATTTACTCGCCGTAGTCCGTACCGGTAGTGAGCATTTTGACATTTCTACGAATAGCAACCTTTCTCCCGCGCTGCTATCGCGCTGCTAAATTTGGTAACGCGCTTCTCACCGAGAAGCCGACTGCTATTTTAGTTACTCGTATGGCAACCCCCGATACGGTAGCTGCGCTATGATGAGGGCTGCTAAAATGAGTTTAGCAGCGTACCGTTACGGTTGCTCTTATATCATGCCGATATAAGCATTAACTTCTGCAGAGGATCGAACGTTTCAAACAAGTTTTGCACTCTCATTGATGAAAAAATGACAGCACAGCGAACAAAAAATAATCGATTAGTTGTTAATCGAGTAAAAAAATGGGACATCTCTGATTTTGGTGTGATTGTTTTGATAAAAAAGCGCGCCAAATTTCATCTCTACCGAGGGGGTAGCAACACCATAAAATTACCTTGCATACTGGGAGTATTCATTGGATGAAAGGGACCGTGAAAGAGGACAACATAGTGTCAACATATTGATACTAAAATTCTCCAATGAATGTTACCGACCAAATCACGTAACTTCTATGTGAAAATCCTGTGACGGTTAAGCTTCATGAAATGAGTGCCCCTACATGAGATTCACGTAGCTCTTATGTGAAAAGTACGATGGAAAAAATCTACGTATATTTTCACGTAGCATTAACGTTAAAATTACAACCGGTATAAGACAGGCACAATCGCGTCATCTACCGCTCAAAGGTAAATGCTCCTATAGAATTTGATAGCAAAGGTTCCATGCTCAGAAGAAAAGTTTGTGTATTTGCTAATGTTTATATGCGTTGCTTCCACCTTCGCTCGAGCGCAGCGCTACCACAGGGGTTTGACATATAGCTGAATACACGTACTCAACATCAAAACAACAAAACATATCATGGTACCGCTGACAACTTTGCAGATGTTCGGTACGCAGCAAACTTAAGCGATATGACAGCCATATCCATCCCCTGCGCTACCACCGACGAACCGATGTGACAGCTCATAGAAACTGCTTTCAAAATCTTGCCCAAAACGCCATGTTTAAAATACGCGAAACACTACCGCCAGCTGCACATCCGATCGCGATATATCATGAGCAAATACACGAACATACGTAAAATTTATATTGACTTGGTTTGCACCTCACCTCGTTTGACAGATCAAATCGCTCATTTAACAAATCGAATTGCGGACAAACGAAATGCTCCAGTGGGATGTCGGTTCGTGGGTATTGGTACTACTCCTAGACTGTTTAAAATTTTTGTTAATGTTCCTCATTTTCCCGCAGACTTTCGAGGTTTTACACAGGAAAAGATGAGGTAAATTACTCATCGCTGAGTTCCTGCGTAGGTTCCTGCACTTTTTGCGCTTTTGAGTAAACTAAACACAAATTTGGGTTGATCTCATTGGCCGTGAAGACGTGCGGCTTTTGCCCTTTTGTTTAAAGCCACTTCTTGACCTAATAGAGATTGCTGACGTTTATCGTACGCACACTACGTCACGTATACGTATACGCAAAATGTTTTCATCGGGAAAAAAAAACTTCATAGCGGAAAATTTTCCAGTTGAAAATAAATCACTGACAGAATCATATTTTAAGGGCCACCCCCATTAGATCCGTTTGCGTTGCGTTGATGTAAATTTTACAGTTAGACAATAGATTTAGCTGTCACTTTGCCGCAACGCGTCCGATCGGTCCGATCCGGATCTAATGTGCGTGGGCCTTTAGAAATCTCTATTGAGTCGAGTCGACTCAATTTTGAGTTGATCTGATCGACCGTCTGTTCGGATAAATGTTCACGGCGAATGAGAACAAACCAAAAATGAGTTTAGTTCACTCATAATCGCCAAAAGTGCAGGAGCTCAGTGATGAAAATTTGCCTCATGGTTTCCTGTGGAAAACCTAAAAAATCAGCCGGAAAATTAGGAAATTGACAAAAAAATTATTCAGTCTAGGAGTAGTACCAATAGACTGAGTGAATCCAACATTACTTTTCTCATATTCGGGATTTTTCCCTGAAAAACCAGGAAATATCTGAGAAAACATGAGGCAAATTTACTCATCGCTAAGTTCCTGCACTTTATGTGATTTATGAGTTAACTAAACTTAAATGTGGGTTATTCTCATTCGCCGTATTGAAAGCGTATAGATCAGTGCACGGTCCCTAACCTCACTTTTTGCTCCCTATCATTTTGCTTCTGAGTAAAAGAGATAGCAACGAATGGGAGCCAAAACAAACCACCCAAAACTTACGAGTGAGAGAAGAGTGCGGCAAATCTTCGTGAACTGATCAATTCAGTGCTAACATTTGAAAACGGCACAAAAGCCATTTGTAAACAAATGGTTTGTGGGCCCTTTACTCACTACTTGAAGTACACCCACGCGACACAACAGCAACATCGGGTAGGGGAAATTTTCCCCTTCCTGACGATGCTGTTGGTTTGCGTGGGCGTTCTTCGGGTAGCGAGTAAAGGGCCCACAAACCATTTGTTTACAAATGGCTTTTGCGCCGTTTTCAAATGTTAGCACTGAATTAAGGATCTTTAAGTAGTAATGTCATTCGATCGATAAAGTAGTACAAACACTGCTCATGAGCTGCAGGGTCGATTGTACATATATAGTAGTTTGTTATGTTTGGTTTGTCATGATTGCCGAAATCAAACAAGATTTGATTGGTTTTTTTCTTTAATTTTCTAGAATTATTATTATTCTAGGAAGGTGATCGATCTCAAACTATGGAATGGAAAAATTATATAATCAATCAGGTAAATAAGCACCAAGAGTAGTTTAATATAAAGCTGCTAAAAACTGTGTTGTCCTATGCAGTGCCTCGCCAGCGTTTACTACATACCCGACTTCATCACCCCGCAAGAGGAATCCTATCTTCTGTCCCAGGTCGACAAAACCCCTAAGCCAAGATGGACTCAATTGTCACGTCGTCGCTTAATTAACTACGGCGGTGTTCCACATCCTAAAGGAATGATAGCAGAGCCAATGCCTTCGTGGCTGCAAAGTTACGTTGATAAGATCAATCAACTCAACGGTGTATTTGAGGACGGGAAAAAGGCCAATCATGTGTTGGTGAATGAATACCTTTCTGGTCAAGGAATTATGCCTCATTCGGTTGGTCCATTGTTTCATCCTACGATCACTACCATCTCGTGTGGCTCTCATACGGTACTGGAGTTCCATGAACCACAAGAAAGCGACGACACGGCAGCTTCAATGCAAAGAGTTCCTGTTACTAAACTGTTCATTGAGCAAAGAAGTTTACTGATCCTTAAGGACGACATGTATAACAAATATCTGCACTCCATTGCCGAGGTGGATCAAGATGTAGTGGACGAAAATATTTCAAACCTGTCAAGAATCAATTGCCAGGATACCAAAATCCAAGCGGGAGATGTACTCAAACGAAAGACACGAATTTCATTCACTATTCGGCATGTGCCAAAGACATCAAAGATGAAAATAAAATTATTTTAGGCTAGTTGTTGGTTTTATATTCAGATAGTTTCCTTTTATACTAGTACAAACCGAAGGGGTTGAATGTTCCAGTAAATGAGGCAGTATGAGGTTATTATTATTAATTTAAATAACTACATTCAACTCATTTTCTCCATCAATACTTTGCCACCATCTTCGATCATGACCGTGTCACTTACTATAATAGGGTCGTCATCGCAGGACATTTTATCATCGGCACCGTCCTGAGAGTCATCTCCTACAGATTCAAGCTTATTCTGCAGCTCTACGATCGACCTCATCAGAACGGTGAAATCTTTCTTTTTCGTCTCCAGCTTTCTTTCGAGAACAGCTTTCTTCTCCTGCAGCTGATCCATTTCCTGCTTCAGCATCTCGAGTTCCTTAATCGTGTTCTTCCGGTCCGGTTGCTGACTTATAATCTTGGCCAGCACATCGTACTCCATTCTGTTCTTCCGAATCTTCTTGGCCAAGATCAAGTTGTATTTGCTTTGCACAATCTGGGTTTTAGCTGTTTCGATTCCCGCTTCGATAGTGTCCGAAATGGTTGCGTAGTTCTTCAATTCCTGTTCCATCACTCGAGCGGAGAAATCCGACTTTTTCATCACGAATTCGCCTTGTGCTAGCTGGGCCAACAAGCGATCGTGAATAGCCTGGCTGGAATATTGAAGAATTATTATTATACCACAATCTACTAGGTTTATTAACGGCAATCATAAGTACCTGTTTTCAGGACTATCAGTAGAATTACACCATTTGACGAATGTCTTCAACAAATCGTTCAATCGCCGGTCATCACCTGTGCCATCGCCATCGATTTGCAATCGACGCCGAATCACTTCCTCTGTTTAAGCAGTACAAAGTGAATAAATAGTTAGTTAGTATTTTTAAATATATTTGCATAACATACCATCCGACATTGCAATAGATTATTCTAGTTAATTTAAAATACAAAAATAAGCTCAATAATGCACGGAATAAACACGGGACTGAAACGCTTGAACTGCCTGGAAGCATAAGAAAATGTTGTAAACAGATGGCGAATTAAAAAGAATAATAAAACGCAGTGGCTGTCAAAACCATCGGGCGAATTTCATTCGAACTAAAGGAAAATTGGTAACTTCACGGCCACTGAGAACAACTCAGAAAGAGAGTCACTTCTACTCAGAGATACGAAGCCATTTCTAAAAACTGCACAGGAACTCAGCGCTGAGTCGCAGTTTTTCAGAAATTTCTGATGCATTTGAGTAAGGCTCAGAACCATTTGGTGGATTATTTTAACTTTTGGTTAAAATTTGACAGAGGGAAAGGTATCGATTAACCCTGGTATCCGAGCGTGGTTACTTCTGACAGACAATAAGTTCAATTTTGATAACCGTGGCTGAGTTATTCTCGAAAACCGGTCGAACGACAGCACAGGGATTTTCGAACATAGAAATTACTTTCGAAATGTCACTTTTAACCCACATCCCTGGCAAGACTAGTACTCACTGAAGCCGCCACCGATGTTGGTGGTGTTAGTGTTGACAACACGTTTTTAAGCTACATTCATGTGTGCCGCATGGTCATATCGCGTTAAAAGTTTTTACCTGTGTAGTAATGCTGCTATCACATCCAATTAAAATGCACTTAATTGTAAGGCAACGATAATTCGTGTTAAACACAGTAAACTGCACCTATGGCTCGACCTATGGCACAACAAAGATTTAAAAAAAATCCTTCCCGCCACTTGCGACAAACTTTCCCAAAAACTTATCACGCATGAACAGAGCTTGCTTGAGAATATTTGCAGCAGCTGTCAAATGTTGACGTAAAATCGAACCAGAGAACCAGGATTTTTCGGCTTCACACAAAGTATATGGGAATGACATTCGTGTCATAGATGTGTTTTAACCACGAGTTAAATTTAACTCGGCAAATGGTTCACAGCCTAAGTAGAACCCTAATAAACAAATACCATAAACGGACTGTATCCCGGATGGGTAAACTATCCCACAAATGGTTTGGATGATACCACGAACACGTCGTTAAGCTCTCTTTTATAGTTATTTTTATTAGGGAAGCGAAGACAACAAATCAAGAAGATTGGCAACTCTTCTATTTTCTTATACACAATAAGAAAAAATTACCCAAAAGTAAGTACTTTGCACTTATCTCGGCACTTTAATGAAGGAATCCAAAAGTAGGTAAAGTGGGTCATAATAGTTTTCATTTACTTGTGTGCAATTCGTTGGAATTTTCCACTAGCTTTCTACCCAAAAGTAATTTAGTTGACCCAAAAGTAGGTAAATATGATTATACTCAACGTTGGGTTCCCACACTTTACTACCACTGTTGGGTGGTTTTGTCCCTCCGTTTTTTGACAATATTTGAAGGAGAAAAGGAGACAAACTAGTCAAAAGTAGGTAAAAGTGAACTTTTTTCTTACCGTGCTCGAACGCTATGAGACAGGTACCTCGGGTTGTTAAGCATCCCTAATAAAAATTGTATGGTTAATTTGCTTAACGACGTGTTCTGGGTATCATCCAAACCATTTGTGGAATAGTTCAATGATTTGGGTTATCGTTCGTTTATGGTTATTTTTTATTAGGGATCTCATCAATAAAAAAAATTATTTTTCTCGAACAAATTTGATCGTACTCTTAAAAATAGGAATTTATTTTTTCTCCGGTACAACAATTTATCTAGTTATCTCTATGATTTAACAATACATTTTATCGTACTTGAAATTCAACAGTAAAGGGCTGAACACAATGATAGCGGCATAGCGACAAGCGCAAATTTATTTGTTTAAATGGTTAATTTCATTGTTTTATTATTCTTTTTCGGGTACGTTTTTGACAGAGTCCCTTCTACCGAAGACAACAAATTAAGAAGACTGGCAACTTTGCCCAAATCCAAGCGACAGATACAATGGTGCTGCACTTGCGAGAAGGTGGAAGCAACGCATAGAAAAATGAGCAAATACACAAACCCTTCTGTCGTGACCGGACCGAGGTTTCCAGCCTCGGCCACGGCAACACGAATTAGCGATGCAGCTCCCACGGGTGCGGCTGCTTCTATTGCTGCTGCTGCTGCTGTTTCTGCTGCTGAGGTTTCTGTTGCTGCTGTTTCTGCTGCTGCTGGTGGTCCGTCACCTCCAAAATTCGTTACAAGAAAGACTTCAACGAGCTTAGGTAACCTATCAAAATTCTCTAACCAATGAGATTATGTTTACATACGAACTATCACGCTTCACGCTCACTTGATTCTACTCATTATTTATTCAACACTAACTCTATCTACTACACCTTCTTCTGAGGATGTTATCTTTGCTATCAAATTTGTTCGAAGCATTTATCTTTTAGCGGGAGATGACGCGATTGTACCTGTTGATGTCGAAAGTAACAATCGCACCGATTCGAAAAAAATTTAGTTTTGTTTTGATGACCGAAAAGTTAATCCTATTTCCGATTAAAAAAATATTATCTCATAGTGATATCATTGTTTAACATATTAAGGGGAAGTTCACCGCTCCGAAAATAGTAATTACGTTTCGATTTTTCTAAAATTTTTGGAAGAAGATATAAAAAATCTAAAAAACTCACATTTTTTCTTATTTTCTAAAGATAATTCAGGTAAAAAAAATATTTTTAAGTCATATGGCATAAAGTTGGACTCAAAAAACCACAAAACATTGACTTTTCGGTTTTGCTAAGAGTCTATTTTTTTTTTCATAATAAAATAGAAAAAAATATGATTACATGTAATTTTTGTCAAGAATCTTAGAAAGAAACTGATTTTCTTGGATTTTTGATAATTGTTCCCAATACTTTTAGAAAAATAAAAACGTCCCAAAACTAAATTTTTATTTTAAGGCCGGTAAACTTCCCCTTAAGCAGGGTTTTAATCATACAAAGCAGATCGCTAAACTAAAAAAATTCGTAATGTAAACGCTTACTCATTTCATTTATACAGCCGCAAGCTGTATTAAAATGTTATACGGTATGAGGAAACCTTTCCTCAACCTCTATACAAGCAAATCTGGCGAACTTAGTCTGCTACTTATGCCTGTTATGACGGTTGGGACAAGCTCTTATTGCATATCTATTTACGCTTCTATACAGCTGTTATCCTGCTGTTTAGTTGTGTGTGAACTTGAAAGACGCAACCTTAACCCGATTCTCCAAGGATTACGTTTTTTTGGCAATACATAGTGACCTTCTGGTCCATTGATCGAGAGCATACTTTTCGATTTGTTCAGCTTCCCGAAGGGGGCGACACATCTAAATCTCAATTCGAGATGCTCAAAAAATCTCACACTAGCGAATAAATCTTCGAAAAATCTTCTTTCATTTCTCGCATCTACTTACATCGCGCATCATCTTTTTGCAGGAAATCTTTAAAATCGTTCTTTCTATCTACTCAGCGTACGCGCAGCTAGCCACAGCAAAACACAATATTTCCTGATCCGGAACTTGTGAGAAATGGAGGCCAACTCCCCTGCACTCGATCTCTCTAGGTCACGCCTCCTTGGTGGTTGAGCGTCGTTGATAAGTTAATGCATTCTACTGAAGAGAATCGCCCATGAAATATGCTTCCACCTGAGAGTTCCTTCCTGACATCTTCAAGTGGTGGAATTTTTTATTATTATATTGTATGATTATTGACTGCACGGAAAAGGTCTGCATTAAGAGGGATTTAGATGAGGCAGGTGAGTTGAATTCAACTCAAACCGATCTGGTCGTAGACTGGCTGGTTTTGAGCCAAACGAACTGTCAAAGCCAGAGCCATACGAGCAGCGCCTATCTTGATTACATCGGCAGTGTTGCTGACCCTCTCATAGTCTACATGCTTCAATCAGATTTATTTTTCGTGAAGTAACCCACAATGAAAACACACCAATATTTAATGTAACAACAATTTTTATTGTAATAGAGTTGTTCATTATTGTTCATGATCGAATCATGTTAACAATAAAATAAATGAAAAATACGATAAAAATCATTGTAACAACATTTTATCATAGAGGTAACTCTATGACCACTGGGTCCCGAAGAAAATCATTATTATTTTTGGCTCACTCAGTACCAGAACAACGGTCCCAAGCAGTCCCAAGCTATTTTACTCACCCCTGCATGTTCTGCATGAATCCACACACCCCTGATGTTATCTGTCAAACTTTCATAGCGAATCAAAACAAACATAGTGTAGTAATAGAATTTCAACTAGAATAGGGTACGTTATTCGTTTGCTTGGGACCAATAGGCTACTAAAGTGGTGAGCCAATTTAAAATCGTTAGTTTCGTATTGATTGTTGATTTTATTATGTACATTCATTGTACATCTAGGTAGCAGTTTTGCCGTTTTCGGAAGAGTACAACATTATAACAATCATTTTTATTGTCGACAATATATATAAATGTTAGAGCATTGCTTCCACTGAAAATTTCACTGTAATTTTTTTTTCGGGAAGACAAACAAAAACTAATAAAGAGAGATAAAAGACAAAAGGAATTAAATTCTTATACTAGACATTTGAAGAAAAACATAAACGGACTGCATATTGCAGAGATCACGGGTTGCCAACACGTCTCTGATAGGAACATAGGGTTGTCTTCCTTGGGCCTCGAGGGTATTCAAAAGTCGCTCTCTGGCGGCGTCATTATCCGTACATTGCCAAACTGCGTGTTCGATGTCATCGTAACCCTAATAAAAAATAACCATAAATGAACGATAACCCAAATCATTGAACTATTCCACAAATGGTTTGGATGATACCCAGAACACGTCGTTAAGCAAATTAACCATACAATTTTTATTAGGGAACCGTTTCCACACCGACAGATGTTCCTGTCCACGAGGTTTATTCTATTGAGATGAGCATCTAGCGAGTAGTGGTTGGACATAAGTCTACTCATCACGCGAATGAAGTCACGACTTGTTACCGCGAGGCAATTAATTTAAAACCAAAACCATAAGATAACCACATAGTTGCATCCCGTTTGCATAGCCCTAGCTGA